GCTATCCCTGAAAGAACTGACATTATTTGAAACAGACTGTAGGAAAGTTCAAGTTTAAGGGTACTCAAAACAATAGAGATTTTGATGGAAAGCAGTTAAGTAGGTAGCTTTGTAAGAGATACAAGCTAAACCATAGGCCATCTAGCTTACCAGAGAGAACCAGGGAAAGAGATAGCTAAGAGCTCCCCTACCTTTAGAACAAACCACAGGACTTCCTTGGGGTCCAATGGTAGAGAATCCACCTACCAATGAAGAGCACACGAGTTTGATCCCTGTTCCGGAAAGACCCACATGTCAAGGAGCAACTACGCCCGTGCACCTCAACTAAACCCGTGCTCTAGAGCTGATAAGCCTCAACTACTGATACCTTTGTGGCTCAGCTGGGAAGGAATCCGCCTGCAATGCGGGAGACCTGGGTTTGATCCCTGGGTTGGGGAGATCACCTGGAGAAGGGAAAGGCTACCCACTCCAGTATTCTGGCCTGGAGAACTCCATGTATATAGTCCATGGGGTCGCAAAGAGTCAGACACGACTGAGCGATTTTCCCTCACTGCAGCCACACATCCTAAAGCCTGTGCTGTGCAACGAGAAGCCACCGCAGAAAGAAGCCCGTGCACAGCAACTAGAGAGTAGCCCCTTCTTGCCACAACTAGAGAAAGCCTGTGTGAAGCATTGAAGACTCCGTGCAGCCAAAAATAAAAATAAATAAAAGAACAAACTCACCTTGTCCTCTGACACTATCCTTCAAAGAGCCAGGATTTAATTGGACCAGACTGTGGGGATTTATACCCCAGGGATTGTTGAAAAATAAACAGAGCAGTCAGCTGATGACTAAGGGAACTTAATAGCTGGATACAGTCAAGGAAAGAGATGGCAAGGAGCCCTACAAAAATCACTGTCATACAAGACTATCTGTGTACATGCTCAAGGCAGCGACATGTGAGACCAGTAACAGAGACTCCACTATGTGGAGGAAATAGACATCACTAAAAAACAGTCCAGCTAACACTAAAGAAATAAAAAAGCCATTTATAATTAACAAGCTCCAAAGGACAGTGAGTGAGGTGAAAGTCGCTCAGTCGTGTCTGACTCTTTGCGACCCCCTGGACTGTGAAGTCCATGGAATTTTCCAGGCCAGGATACTGGAGTGGGTAGCCTATCCCTTCTCCAGGGGATCTTCCCAACACAGGGATTGAACCCAGGCCTCCCACATTGCAGGCGGATTCTTTACCAGCTGAGCCTTTACCAGGGGAGAGGGGGATGTCAATTTCCAGAGTTGCTATGTTAAACAAAGCATATCAAAGAGAAAGAAGTTACTTTTAAAAAGGACCAATGAAAATTCTGAAGTTGAAAAATACAATAACTGAGATGAAAAACACAGCAGAGGGGCTCACAGTAGATTTGAACTGGCAGAAAAATTAACAAGTGATACAGATTATGCAATCCAAAGAACAGAGAGAAAAAAATTGAAGATAATTGAACAGAACCTCAGAGAAACATAGATCACCATTAAACACACCAACATATGTATAATGGGAGTACAAGAAGTTCCAACTTTGACTTTTTTTCTCCCAGCTTTATTGAGATGTAATTGACAACACTGTGTGAGTTTAAAGTGCATAATGTAGTGGTTTTATATAAGTACACATTGCAAAAATGAATACACAATGTTAACATCACCACCACCTCAAAGAGTTTCAATTTTTTTTAGCTTCATCTTAACAACTTTGATTTAAAACAAAACTCTTAATGTATATAACTAAGAAGCTCAACAAATTCCAAATAAGATACATGCAAGATCTACTTCAAACACATCAAAGTAAAAATGCTATTATCAATAACATCAAGTGTGAAAATAATGCAATCAAAATGAAAAGCATTTGTGCACTATCAGTGTAGTGAAATGAACCCACTGATTGGAAGGAAATACAATTGGCCCTCCATATCCACAGGCTCCTCATCCCTGGATTCAACCAAGCCATGATTGATTGGTATGCAGATGCTTGGTCCACCGGTACACAAGGCTGACTGTTTGATGCTATTTTATACAAGGGACTTACTTGAACATCTGTGGATTCGGGTATCTGCATGGTTCCTGGAACCAATTCCCCAGTGGATATCAAGCAACAACTATACAGTCGACCCTTGAAAACTTGAGTTTAAACTATGCAGGTCCATTTATACACAGATTTTATTTTCAGTAAACATAGTACTATGTTTATGTTCTGCAGCTGACTGAATCCATAGATGCAGAACCTGAGGATAAAGCAGACCTTCTATGGGTCTCCTGGATCTGTCCACAGATTCACATATACATGGGCAATGAAGGGAGAAGGTGAGGTCCTGGCACAAAATCCTCATGGATACCAAGGGACAACTGTATTTCCAAATTACATATCTGTTAAGGGATTCATAATCTAGAATTATAAACACCTTTACAATTCAATAATAAAAAGACAACCCAATTTAAAAAAGGGCAATTTCTAAATAAACATTACTCCAAAGAAGATATTCAAATGGCCAGTAAACACAAGAAAAGATGTTCAAAATCATTAGATATGATGAAAATGCAGATTAAAAGGAGAATGATATGCCCCACTTCAGATCTTACTAGAATGCCTATAAATCAAGAAGAAAGATAATAGCAAGTGATGGTGAGGATGCAGAGAAACTGGAAACCTTATACATTATCAGAATTGTAAAATAATACAGCCACTTTGATAAATCTGGCAGTTCCTCAGTTACCACAGTTATCATATGACTAAGAAATTCTAGACATATATAAAAAAAATGAAAATGTCCACCTAAAAACTTGTATATGAACATTCATAGAGCATAATTCATAACAGCCAAAAAAGTGGAAACAACCCAAATGTCATCAACGGATGGGTGCACAGAATGGATAAATGTACGCCCATACAATGGAATATTACTTGGCAAGGAAAAGGGATACATGCACCAACATGAATTAACTTAGAAAACACTATGTTAAAGGAAAGAAGTCAGTCACAAAAATCACATATTGTGTGATTCCATTTATGTGAAATGTTAGAAGTAGAACATTTTGTCCAGAGACAGAAAGTAAATCAGTAGAAGTTACCTGAGGATGAAGTGGTTGGGGGTGGCAGACAGAAAGTGTGAGGTTTCTTTTTGGGGTGATGAAAATATTCTAAACTTGATTGTGATGACAGTTGCACAACTCGGTGATCATGTTAGGGGAAGCACACTGATTGAAACCGCCCACCCTGGCCAGGCACCATAGTAACCACTTGCATGAGTTGTTTTATGGCAGGAGATCCTGATAAGGAATACGGAACTAGTAAGCCACCACCAGCCGGCAGAGTTAGGGAAAGGTCAAGAGGAGACACTGCCTGTCCGTCCACTTCCCAGAATCCCTCTCACTAGCATCCATCTTGGCTGAGCGATGCGTGCGCCACCAGGAAAGACTCTGAATTAGAATGATTGGCTGAAGACCACCCGGAAACTAATCCCATCACCATAAAACCCGAGACTGCGAGCCACGCGGCAGAGCAGTTCTCCTGGGTTCCCTTACCCTCCTGCTCTCCACCCGGGTGCCCTTTCCCAGTAAAATCTCTTGCTTTGTCAGCACATGTGTCTCCTCGGACAATTCATTTCCAAGTGTTAGACAAGAGCCCAGTTTCAGGCCCTGGAAGGGGTCCCCCTTCCTGGAACAATTATACTAATAACTGTTCAAGGATACACTTTAAATGGTGAACTGTATGGTACATAAATTATGTATCAATAAAGCTGTAACCAACAAAGATTCATGTATAAATAAAAGACAACTTAAAATTCTAAGAATTTTATTATAGAAACAAAACAAGGAGTATAATTAAGCATGAAATAAATAATTTCATTCTTGATAAAAGTACATTTAATATTATAAACTAGTTTATAACCCAACTTTTTTAAAGGATTTCTGTTTACCGAAATTAACTTGTATTCTTTTGTGAAGATGTATCCTTAGTTACAGGAAGAACATAATCTAAATATACATTGTTGTAGATACCATTCAAAAGTCAACATACATAAAATCAATTGTATTAGATGGCTAACAAACACATGAAAAAATGCTCAACAATGCTGATTACTAGAGAAACACAAATCAAAATGACAATGAGCTATCACCTCAGACTGGTCAGAATGACTATAATCAAAAAATCGACAAACAATAAATGCTGAGGAGGATGTGGAGAAAAGGGAACTCTTGCACTGCCGGCAGGAATGTAAATTGATACAGCCACTGTGGAGAACAGTGGCTATACAGAACAGTGTGGAAATTTCTTAAAAAACTAGGAATGACCAGAAATGACTCAGAAATCCCAGTTCTGGCTATCTACCCTGAGAAAACCACAATTTTCAAGGACACATGTACCCCAAGGTTCACTGCAGCACCATATACATTAGCTGGGACATGGAAGCAACCTAGATGTTCATTGAGAGATGAATGGATAAAGAAGTTGTAAAAAAAAAAAAAAAAAAAGTTGTGATACATATATATATAATGGGTAACTACTCAGCCATAAAAAGGAACAAATTTGAGTTTGTTCTAGAGAGGTGGATGAACCTAGAGCCTGCTATACAGAGTGAAGTATAAGTCAGAAAGAGAAAAATATAGTACATGAATATACATACAGGGAATCTAGAAAGATGGTACTGATGAACCTGCTTGTAGCGCAGCAGAAGAGGTGCAGACATAGAAAACAGATGTGTGGACACCGCACGGGAAGGAGAGGGTGGAACAGACTGAGAAGCACTGAAACACATACATCACCACACGTAAAACAGACCAAAAGTGAGAGATAAAGTTGCTCAGTAACGTCTGACTTTTGGCCACACCACGGACTGTATAGTATCCTGTCTCCAGCCCAGGATACTGGAGTGGGTAGCCGTTCCTTTCTTTAGGGGGTTTTCCCAACCTAGGTCTCCCGCATTTTAAGCAGATTCTTCACCAGCTGAGCCACCAAAACAGAGAGCCAGTGGGAATTTGCTGTATGATGCAGGGAGTTCACCTCAATGCTCTGTGACAACCCAGAGGGGTGGGATGGGGTGGAAGTTGGGGAGCAGTTTAAGAAGGAGATACATGTGTACCTACAGTTCACTCATGACGCTGTACACCAGAAACCAACACAGTATTCTAAAGCAATTATCCTTCAACTAAAAGCAAATAAATTAAAAAAAGAAAATTCAGTTGTATTCATCTTTGTTACATAGCTGTACAAAAGCTATTAATTTAAAATATGAACGGATTATTTATTAGATATCATACATTAGAAGTATGGAATGTATGTTTCTTTTTGATGCTATTATTCCACTATCGTGGTCAGATGTTCAATGTATCTCTTATAAAACTGCACATAAGATTTTATTTGCCAAAATTAGAATGTGCTAATTCTAAGAGACTTACAAAACAGAAATGACTCAGAAAGTCCTTTATGCTAAATTCAGCAAATCTGGTTCTAAAATGTCCTTTTTTTAAAATTATGGTAAACAAATGTATTGTTTAGAAATCTTAATGGATGGAAAATAGTTGAATCAAATATATTCCTTTGCAATTTTCACATCTAATTTTATTTAAATTGTTAATTTTATACATTCAAAAACTAACAATGAGCTATTATTTCAATAAGAAATTGTTCAATTTTAATTGCAACTTTTCAGGCTGTAATTTTAATATATATTGTGATCTAAAACTATCAGCAAACAGTAATAATAAAGTATATTTTAAAAACTGGACAAAAAAATAAAAAATGGACAAATGAGAAAATAGATTGAGATGCAGTAGCCATTTTGCTTTACAATAGGTTCTTAAATGCACAGAACAGTTCATTTAAATACCCTTTAAATATTCATACACGTAAAGTATATTTATAAATAAAACTGATTTACCTACAACTTTTAAAAACCCAATAATTTTATAAAGAGACATACTAAAAAAAAAAAAAGAGATACTACTTTTACCCCCAAAAGGTATCAAAATTTTTAACAGCTCAAAAATAAAAAAAGGCAAAAAGCAATTGATTTCCCTCAAATGACAAAGTTTAATAAGATGGCTGTTCGCTGTTCAGTAAATTAATAGCCTATCTTTTAAAGCATATTTTTCAGCCCCAACTTGTAACAGACTTTGACCTCCATCTCTACTTTTCCCTTAGTCAATCTAGACTGTATGGAAGAGTGTCATATTAGGCTTTTAGCAACATGAGTTAATGTCCCAAAAAAACATGCTGTCTACATACTCAGAAAGTAATGAAGAAAAAAATTTATAAGTGCAATGCATACTCCCTAGGTTGTAAAACTACCAGTCTAACACAGATGCCAAAGTTAGAAAACATATAAACCAGCACAGTCAATATCAGACATCTTATCAAGTAAGTTTTATCTGTTGGATTGCTTGGCATTTGGGAAGCTAAATAAATTAATTTAGCAGGCTAGAAATCCCATCACTACCTTTAACAAAGATTTGGTTACTAATGAATTAAAGTTAATAGTGAAAACAGTATACTGAGGATTCTTTCTCTGTGCTTAATGATGAGGGAAAAGTTACCAAAATTTTCTGATGAAAATGAAAGAAATGGATAATTTTTTAATAATAAAAAGTAAACTTTGAAATAAGGAGGTTAAGGCACTTATTTCCATGGTGTTGCAACATCAAGGGCAAAGTATGTTTTGTATTTCTTTAAGAAATTCCTTCCACCCCAAGCCCACAAACTTTGCCCCTTTCACAGTAGATCTCTACTGTCAAACCTAACCCAAATAGAACTACTTGCAGAATTCTTAATCATTTGTTACTCTACAAATAAGTAAGGAAATTAAATGCTCAAGTTTTCTAGCACTATTGTTTTAACTAGAGCTAAAATAGAAGCAAATAAGCTTATCTTCCATACCCAGTATTATTATTTCTATAATAAAGCTCACAGTTTTCTTTTCAACTGATGCTAAATGAAAAATTCATTATTTAAAAAAATCAATTAAAAGCTGCTCCAAACCTGTTTAAGAAATAAGTTGATAGAAGCAAAAGCAACTTACTAATATGTCAAAAACAAAAAACACACAACAATCAAAATTCAGCATATTTGATCATAAATAAATCAGTAAAAATTCAATTAAATATTTCATGCTACATAGAAAGTAGGTTGTTCTATTTCCCTTTCAAAATATGCAAGCCATCTTTTCAATTACATTGTTTTACATGCTGCATCTAATCATAAGTACTACCATGTACTTCTTTACACTGTGTACTTAGGTAACTATGGTAATATTTTTATAAGGCTTGACGCTAAATACTAGTGACTCACTATTAAGACGTACAGAGAAGCTGAAATAGCCTGCCTGTAGCTATCTTAATATTAATTGCTAAACATTACATAAAAGCATGACATGAGAACCAATAAAACTAATGCACCAGACATACAATACTGCCATCAAACAATTCTTAAGCTCCAAAAGAACAAAACATCTGAGTTAGTCTAAGAATGCATGAGCTCTTGTACTTTTAAAAGATAAAATTACAGAACATAAAGATAATGGAAAGATGCTCCTTTCTAATATAGTAATTTAGAGTGAGGAAACTGCAATTTTTGCAGCACTCTGACCAGTGAAAAAATTTTAAATCTGTTCACTTAACAGGTGTATAAGGTAAAACTAAACATGCATCCCATCTTATTAAAGTGATACACCCACCCTGAAACTCTTTATAAGGCCACATTAATCATTATAGAATTTCTTTTAAATATAATTAAAAAGATAAAAAGGAACACAGATTGTGGAACTATGCTGTGAATTTTATAATAGTCATTTTGTTCTTAATGTTGAAAACCGTACCGCCATTTCACAAGGAACAGTACTTGTGTTTTACCACAAATGCTTGTCTATGCAGAGGCATATTGAACAGCATCTACACATATCTCCAGAAACTGCTGCTCACTTTAGTGGATATATTCTCATTCTGATAAAGATTTAAGTTTTTACTTCATACTTCAATAGAAAACACATGAATAGATTATATACTCCATATCCATATTTTTAAAAACCTTGAATGTTCTTTTATTTTTTAACTTAAAGCAACATTCTTTTAAATATCTGTTTTAAAAAATACATAGGTAACAAGAGTTAACTGTTTTATCATGATTAAATTGGTATCAAATTTATGGGTGTAAGTGAAAAAACTAACCACTTAATAGTCATAATGTAGTGAAATGCAATATCAAGCACTATATGTTATTAAGAAAGTGCTCACATATAAGCAGCAGATGATGAGAGCTATATCATGGAAAATCTGGATATATCAATGTATATCCTTAAAAATCATCTTCCTTTACATAATTTCCACTTTAATTTAAATGCCACAAATTCTCAGTGAACATTTAAATTAGTTTTTTATTTCAGCTCTATTATACATCATGAAATACCTTCAGAGAATGCCTTGAGGGTAAGGATAATTCTTTCCTTCTATAATTATATCACATTAAGTATTTGTTAAATGTTATGTTTGAGACATACTCTGACCTTGAACATATTTAAATTCAAGACTAATGTTATGATGGAAAGAAGATTTATGAGGAAAATTTTACAACAGTTTGGAAGGTAAAATCATAGCAATAACGAAAACACCTGGCTGGAATACTGCAGTGTGGCAGATTTTACATTTTACTGAAGCATGGTAATGTTTGATCTTCTTTCCCCCACAGAACTCTAGATCCAGTTAATAGCAGAAGGGAAAATCAGCAGCAACATTTCGATGTCCACAATCTGATTTCCAAAAGATACCACGTACATAGAAGAAAACTGCATTTTACTTCAGGTGATATATAAGTCTTTGAAATGTAGGCTCTGTTATTTTTCAAGACTGAAAGGATATCACAGTGTTGATTTTATATACAAAGTAGGATCTGTTCCAGTATACTCTAGTGAAATAATTCACATAGGGAGAATAGTTAATTTTGACCTCATGACAAAATCGTCCATGTTTTGAGTAGGTTAACTTGTCACCTTCTTCACAAACCACCTATCAAATGATATGAAACATAATGTTAAAAAGGTTATAGGAGAAATGCAATCAAGGTACAAGTGACTATATTTATATAAAATATACATTTTTTTCTTAAATATGGAGTATCTCACATTGGTTAGCAAACATCTCATATTATTCAGCAAATAAAAGCCTCTTCATAAGAGTTACCATGTTCAGTAAATTCTTGAACTTCCCACTGAGATTGAGAAACCAGCATAGAGTGTTTTCCAATTTTTAAAAGATTTAATCCTAAAATTTAGAAGGCTATGCCCCATAGTCTATTATCATTCATCTGAAGAATCTTATCATGGAGCCTACCGAAGCTAAGAAATGGACATATATTCTTTTTTTGGGGGGACATATATTCTTAATGTATGTTCATATTCTCCTTGTGAGGACTGACTCACAACGGTACGTTTCTGTGACTAATCGGTAAATCCTTTACATTTTCACTTTAATGACGTTCACTAAGACAGCTTAGCTAGCTCAAAGAGTTTCCTACAATAAAAACACTAAATATCCTAATGCCTTGGAGAGATGTCAGAGAATCAACTTAAAGAATAAAAGAAGAGATTAGCTTTAAACCTGTGCCTGGAATTACATGAAAGAAGTAACCTGACCTTCAAAATGGAGCAAGAGGGGTCCAAGAGCAGAATAAAACTCCAGAAAGCAATACAGCAGTAATTACTAAATGTGTGCATGCTCAGTCGCTCAGCCGTGTCTGACTCTCTGCGACCCCATGGACTGTTGCCTGCCAGGCTCCTCTGTCCATGGGATTTTCAGGCAAGAAGTGGGTTGCCATCTCCTACTCTTATTACCAAATACCTGATGTTTAATAAAATTCCATTCTGTCACCAATTAAGCCAAAGATCACAGACATCAAGCACCAAGAGAGAAAATTCAAAGTACATGCAGCAGAAAACAGAGTAAGTTTATAAGATTAAGAGGTCATGAGGTCAATTTCTCTAGACTCTCCTGGCAAGGGCGCAGGTTTGGTATGTGGGGAACTAAGATCCCACATGACTCGGAGCATGGCCAAAAAACCCCCAAAGCAACAAACTAATTTCTCACCTCCAAACTGGCCTGGGATGATTATGACAAAGCTATTTAATTAGGGAGACACAGAGAAGTCTTGGCTTCAGTCTGAATAGAATATGCAATCTAAGTAAGAATGACCTACTAAACTTTAAGATCCTCCACCCCCAACTTGCCCAGGAGTAAAGGTACCCTTTCTAGTGCCTAATTAGCAGATATACAAACACTAATTACTAAATATTGACAAACTCCCCTGTCAAGTTTTAGTTGCCAGGTATTTGGTATATATACTTCAGGCTGAGAAGTAATGCAGCTTGGTAAAAGAGCAAAATCAATGAAACCTGAAAATACAGTTAAATCCTAAAATACAGTTAAATCCTAACAACTAAAGTAGTTCTGAATACACTAATTTTGTGGATAATAGGGGCTCAATGTACAAGACTATGTTAATTTAATAATCAATTTTTCTAGATATGAATCAAATTATAAGAAATTTCTCAACATAAGAATATAACAAAACAAACAGCTGCTCTTTATATTACAATGTTAAAATAAAATCTTAATTCAAAGCAAATTATATTTTGTTCATAAATGTATAACATGTACAAGTACAGGCAACTATTATGAGTCCAGGTATTGATAAAAATTTTTTTTTCCCAAAATTGTCCAACTTTTCTTTTGTACATTGCAAAAACACTTCAAACTACTTTTAATGAGCTCCCCCACTATTACATCTCTAGAGAAGGAAATGGCAACCCACTCCAGTCTTGCCTGGAAATTCCATGGACAGAGGAGCGTGGCGGGCTGCAGTCCACAGGGTTGCAAAGAGTCGGTCACAACTGAGCACATGCACACACTATTACCTAATTTTTAATTATATTCTTAGTCAAGTTCCAAAAAATAAAGTTTGAAGATACCATTACAAGTTTAAATAAAGTCATTTTTCTCAAAAAAAAAAAAAAATTAAAACTTTACAAATAGTTACTTACATGGCCATTTGCAATGTCTAATAAATCTTTAACCCGACAGCCTCTCATGGTTCCCACTTCATTGCAGATAGCATCTTCTATTATTAGGTAACTAGCCTTGTACGATGTCAGTATTTTATAAATATCCTCAGCAGATCGCTTTGAATAAATTTGATAGATCTGAAAGAAAATAATTAAAACAACAACTTTAAAAGACATTTAAAACTTCTATTTACCAAACACTGAGCATCTACTGTGTTCTTAGTACTATCTGTGGAAAATAAAGATATTCACTAAGACTTGATTCCCATCCTCAGTAAGCTTATGTTCATCTGGTCTTGGCTACTTGCATATCTTCTTTAGAGAAATATCTATTCAAGTCCTTTGTCCATTCCTTCAATGCTATTGAGATATAATTAACATACAGTATTGTGTATGAGTTTAAGCTGTACAACATGTTTGTTTGATAAGCTCATATGCTGCAAAATAATTTAGCACCATAGCTTTAGCTAATATTTGCATCATGTTACATAATCACCATTTTTTTGTGTGTGTGGAAAACATCTAAGATCTATTCCCAACAACTTTCAAATCTACAACACAGTATTATTAACTTCAACCACCATGCTGTACATTAAATCCCTAGAATTTATTCATCTTATAACTAGAAGTTTGTACTCTTTAACCAATATCTCCTCATTTCTCGAGGTCTCTCAACCCCTGGCAACCACAACTCTTCTGTTTCTATGTGGTCAGCTTTTTTAGATTCCATAAGTAAGTGATATCATACAGTATTTGTCTTTTTCTATCTGACTTACTTCACTTAGCATAATGCCCTCAATGTTTATCTACGTTGTTGCAAATGGCCTTTGTCCATTTTTTAATTGGGTGGTCTTTTTATTAGTGAGCTATAATAGTTCCTTTAATATTTTTATTACCATGTACCAAAGTATTTAATACTCATTTTATACATGAGATAAAGTCAGTGAGGTTAAAAATAATTTGACCCTTGTCACAATACTTAAAGAATAGGCATGCTTAAAACCCATGCCTTGATTACATGGTCTTTTATTCATTATAATTTTGCTGACCTTATTAGATAATAAGCTCTGGATCTTATTACAATAGATAATATTTTTTTTTTCAGTTTTTCTGAAATGCTAAACTTGGAAAAGCCATAAAAGTTAGGCCAAAAGTATCACAGACTGTCCTGAAAATCCTGAGGTTTGTAATCTAGACTGGACAAGATCCCAGTCTATCTGCAGGATATTCAGCAGCTGCTGATGACATGTTCTGGTTGTTGTCTATTCAGCAACTTCAGGTCCAATGTCCACTGACATGCTAGATACTCATTCTGTGGGAAACAAAATGTGACTACAACAAGAGGAAGTTTCTCACTCACTTCACCTAAGTAAGTAAGTTCATGTGAATGGTTCTATCCTATCCAGTTTATACTTATTTGTGTATTTTATACACATTTTTATTTATTTTCAAGTCTGGGACAACTGTAACATACTACTGGGGCATGTTAAAAAAAAGACGACTTCGATGCAATGGCAATAACCTTACTGTTAGACTAGGGTGTGATTTCTCAGCCTCGGTGCTATTAACATTTTGGGCCATATAATTCTTTGTTGGGGCCAAACAGAGGCTGTTCTGCACACTGAAGGATGTTTAGGCACTCCCTGGTCTCTACCCTCCAGGTGCCTGTAGAACCCCTTCTCCAGCTGTAACGACAGAAAATGTCTCCAGACATTGCCAAATGTCCTTTGGGGGCACCGTCATTCCAGGTTTGAGAATCACTGGCCTAGGAGATTATACAAAGATTAGTCACATGTTATGAATTATAGATTGTGGTGTCTAATTCAAATGAAATGATATCATTTATGGACTTCAATTTGAATTTTAATTTAAAAACAAATTTATTCAGTACTTTGCTATGTACTAGACACCACAGAGAAAGATGAAGATTTTGGGGAAAAACTGGTTCCTATTCATATAAAACTGAAAACTCTAAAATGTTTAAATTTAACTAGAATGTAATTAGAAGTCTGACCTAATTACATGTGATTCTGAAATTCTATATTAGAATTCAAAAAACAATCAAAATTGTTAAAAAACAATCAAAAAATAACAAAGAAAACAAAGACATGTCAGAGTCCGTTGGTTTAAATCCACCAAAAATACAGTTTAGGAAGGAGCTTCCCAGGTGGCACTAGTAGTAAAGAATCTGCCCGCCAATACAGGAGACCTAAGAGATGCAGGTTTGATCCCTGGAGTAGGAAATGGCAACCCACTCCAGTATTCTTGCCTGGAAAAATTCCAAGGACAGAGGAGACTGGCAGGCCCCAGTCCATGGGGCTGCAAAGAGTCGGACATGACTGAGTGACTGAACATACACTATGTTTAGGCATACGCTGTGATATATCTTCTAAGCAGTGCTAACTTTCCAAGTGCAGAGAATATTAATCAGAGGTGACTGTTGTCTCCTAGATAAATCACTCCCAGGTAGACCTCCCCATCTCTGACCTCTCCCTCACTTCAGCTGTTCTATAACCTTAATAACTCCTAAGCATTCCTAGGTTTACACAAGGTCTTTGATAACTCCCAAATGCCTTGAAGGGTAAGTCTAAATTCTTAAGTATGACCTTCCAGGTCCTTCAGAATTTGGCCTCTTATTTTCTAGTTTCATGGCCAAACAAATTTCATGGCTCTTGGGACTTTTTCAATCTGGAATCATTGTATTCTTTTGCCAAACAAGTTTCTAAGTCATCCTTCAAATCTGTGATCAAAGGAATGCCCCTTATGAAGACTTGGGTTTTTGTAGGCAGAACTGACTTGCTTCTGCTTTTGAACTCCTCTCTGTACTTTCTGTGATTATATGTGAATGTGTGTGTACACAAAGAATTATAATATTAATAGTACATAACTATAATAATAGCTAACATTTAAATTTTACTGTTTCAGGCAGAGTATATTATCTTATTTAATTCTCCTAAGTAGAATTAGGGTCAGAACTATTATTTCCAGATTCAGAAACTTGCTCAAGGTCACAAGCTAGTACCTGGCAGAGGTATCATTTGAGTCCAGATACTCTAATTCTAGAGTCTGGATTCTTAGAGTCTAACCTCTGTATTACAGTCTAACTTCTATGCTGCTATACTTCCTACTGAGCATAGAGTATACTTAAAAACTATATGAAATTCTCTCCAATTGTAAAACAGAATATTTAGAACTCAGGTTCAATTGGTCATTACTTCAGATATGAAGTTACATTTACATCTAAACCAAACATTCAAAATTATAAATTCTCTGAAAGAGAAGCAATTAGATACCATACAAACGTTATGCATACTAAGTTATTAACAATAGCCCATACTGAAAACTAAATCAGTGCTTTATAAGCAATAATAGAATTTTGGCTTAGAAATACAAAGTGTATAAAGACATTAACTGAAAGCCTTCCTTCAATAATTTGAGAACAGGGACTTCCCTGCTGGCCCAGTGGTTAAGACTCTGAGCTCCCAATGCAGGGGGCCCAGGTTCAATCCCTGGTCAGGGAACTAGATCCCACATGCTGCAACTAAGACCTGGTGCAGCCAAATAAATGAATAAATGTTTAAAAAAAAGAAATAATTTGAGAACAATGATATTCTCAAAGATGTTTCCTTTTGTAAACTATTACACATTAGTCCCTTGGAGCCTTGTGGGAAATGAAATGTTTCTCCTAGAAACATATCAATACTTTTCATTAAAGAACTTCATATTCTAATGTTGGTGCCTCTTGGTTAAATGTACCATACAGCTTTTAAAAAAGTTAAAACTAATTAACTCTTCTAAAATTGTCTGGATTTTCCTAGCTAACCCAAGGAACATAAACATCACTATAAAACTATACTAAAACGTCATATAAAAAAGATCCCAATGTAGAATATAAAATGCCTTACGTTTTCATTTCTCTTGAGAAGATCATCATCATTGTAAAGAGGCAAGCTTGTCACCATCCATCCAGTGCATAATTTAATCACACCCATTAATTGCGGACTACCTGCAAACACAGCTGCAACTGGAGCTTGCCTTCTGCAAAGAACCACAAAGATTCACACACTGAAAAGGTAAGTATACTATTTAGTTTACCAATTTGTATCAATTCTGAAATACCAAGCAACTTAAAATGGATTGTACACTTAAGTTTTAATGTCAGTTTTAATTTCTTTTCATTTTTTGATTAAGAAAAATGAGCAGCTATTATGTGTCAGAAATTGTATACAGTGCTGAAGATAAATATTTTAAAAAGAGAAGTGGGAGGAAAAGGCTTTCAAAGACAGAGCAGGGAGAGGATAAACACGTCTACTGCCATCTGGGTCACGTGGCGATAATGCAGGGCAATGGAACAGTGACAGTTCAGTGGTGATGCTGTGAATTCTCAAATTCATCTTTGGCAAATACTAACCACCATAACCCAGCTCCTTCCAGATGCACCTGTCCTCCTGCTCCTTCCCTGCCTTTACCCCTGTGTCTGGCTCCAGGTAACACATGAAGGACTTCTCAACTCTAAATCATAATTCCAAAATCCCAGATGGATGCCCCTCACAGGACAGATCCCAAAGGGCTGCTCCAATGTCCCGACTTATTTATTCCCTCCCTGTATTCAACAATCAGCATCCACCTACTGTATCAAACTCTCAAAGTAAAGAGGACACAGCCAGCGTCCTCAAGGAGCACCTGGTAACAGGGAAACGAAAATGAAACAGAAAAATCACATCACAGTAACATAAATGCTCAATCATTTGATGTAAAAGGTCCGATGTTTAGGCCTTTGCTGTTTTTAAAAATATTGTAGTAAATCATACATGTAAACGTGACTTACTTTTTTTTTTTTTCACTTACTCTTTTGTTAACAACAGAAGGCTATACAGTCAATGTTCCACAAAGGTAAACACAATTCACAAAAAAATATTAACGGGCAGTAGTTAAGGATGATCTAAAATAATAATCTTTATACATACAAGAGGTGTCGTCATAATAATGAGACCTTACATGAGACCTATTCTCACTTTCAAACTGTGGCGCTGGAGAAGTCTCTTGAGAGTCCCCTGGGCTGCAAGGAGATCAAACTAGTCAATCCTAAAGGAAATCAACCCTGAATATTCACTGGAAGGACTGATGCTGAAGCTCCAATACTCTGGCCATGAGCTAAGAGCCTGAAAAGACCCTGATGCTGGGGAAATTGAGGGCAAGAGGAGAATAGTGTGACAGAGGATGAGATGGTTGGATGGCATTACTGACTCAATGGATATGAGTTTGAGGAAACTCAGGGAGAGAGTGATGGACAGAGAAGCCTGGCGTGCTGCAGTCCATAGGGTCGCAAAAAGTTGGACGCGACTTAGCAGCTGAACAACAACAATAATTCTCACTTCTATTCACCTATTCTATAAAATTAATCCTTCATTTCTAGAAACAGTTTTAATCTTTTTCTCAGTTTTATCCTGGTCTTTTTCTGATAGTATTTTGTTCCTTTTTCAAGTATTAATTTCCTTATCTATATGTTTAAAATTTTTTATCAGTCTCTATTCGTGGGGTAGACTGGTTGAAAAAAATGGTTGCAATGATTCTTTCCCCATAGTTATGCTCTTGGAGGAAACTCTATAGTTTCCATCATGTGACTTGCTTTGGCCAATAGGACATTAGCAAACACAAGGTGAGCAGACTTAAAACATGCTGCTCTAGGGAGCTCTACAACCACCATCTTGTGAATCAGCCCAGTCTCACCTGGGCTGGATGACGAGGAGTAAGTGGCTAAGTCAATTCCATGCCCTCAGCTGACACTACCCAGCCACAGACACATGAGAGGGGCCAGGCCAGACAACCCAGTTCCACATGAGCTGGCCCAGACCAGAAGCCTACCTATTGCTTCCTCTCAGTTGATCAAGAAGTGGTGCAAAATAACAAATGTTTATTGCTTGTAAGTCACCAACTTTTGTGAGAGTCCACTGTGCCACAAAACCTGACCCAAATTTTATTATCAGAAATTGCTAGAGGTCTAGTTCTATTGCTTATCATAAATGACAGCAATGTCTTGCTGTGTCGAACTGTTTCTTCATGTGTTTTGTAACTTTAGAACTTATCTCCATGAAGCTTTATTTGTGAAATCCTGGGTAGCCTGGGTTGAGGATTTTGTTAGGCAGTCCAGACTATCCCAGAAATATTTTTGATGCTTATTTCTTGATAGAGGGTTCCCTGGATTAAACAAGTATAATTTCAAGCTACAGACATGTGAATTCAGATGGACTGCTACAAATTCAGAGGAAACACTTTATTTTTGATCAAGAGCTGAGGCCAAGGAAGACATGCTTTCTTGCCATCTTTTTCTACCACTTGCTGGATATTTCGAGTTCATCCCTTCACTGACAGTATGACCCTTTGAGGGTCCCTTAGTTCTGTATGTATTAATATGTTAGGGGACGGAATAGGGTGTTTCAATTACAATTCCCCACTTGCATAGGTCCAAGAGCACATCTGTCACCTTAAAATCTGCATGAGCATCAAAGTTAAAAATGTTGTTAACTTTGGTTATCAACACTAGAAACCCAACGTTCATTCACCTCCAACCCTGGTTAAAAGAAGCATCTCTTGACTATCTAAATAAAAGGACACTGATTCCTTTTTATTCCACATTTCTAGATGCTTAATAGCTAGAGCTTCACATCTCAACTTATCAATACTGTACTTTTGATGGAAATGAGTTCAATTAGAAAATTAGAATTATATGTCTAATTAAAAAACTGTCCCTAAAAATATAGGGTAAAATTCCTGAGTTTCATGGAAAAAGGATTACCTTATTATTCCCCCTGAATCTATTAAATAGCATGCAATGATTAATTAATAGCTTAACAATAGTCTCAGGTAATTCAGTTCTTACTTTATCCAGGTCATAAGTTCCACCGTATCTGGGTCATAAAATTCTTGTAGTTCCATTAGTTCTGTCATTAATCTTGGAAAAAACTAAAATACAAAACAAAATCCCCGAAACCTGTGTGTAAGTATTTATAAAGTTTGAAGCTTTTTCAAAGTATTTCCAAAGACTAAGAGGCCTACTTGTGACAAACAATATTACAACACTGTTCTCACAGAAAAAACGGCACAGATCACTTTACTTTCTTTTAGTTTCTTGTTCATTCTTCTCAGTCCAAATAATCTACCGTTTGGTTAATTTACTACCTATACTCAATACATAATTTTAGCATCACCAATTAATCATCAGTTGTATCTTTCATGCACATACACACTGAAAAAATAAGTAAACAAATAAATTTCAGGTTAAGTCAAATAATTCACAGGTTTACTGGCAATTAATTTCATGTCACATTATGGTAAGGTAAAGAATTTATATTACTTTGTAAATATTAAACTTTGGGGTTGCCAAAATGCTTTTTACTCTTTACTAGTAAATACAATTTATTCAGCTATTTCCTTTGTCAATTGTAATAGTCTAACAATATCAGATTATAGAAAATTGCATCAGATGGCACTCTAAAAATGTTTTAGCTCTTCTATCATGGTCCTATTGGTAGAAAATTAAGTATTATTTAGTATATCACATTTTATTTTGTCAAAATACTGTCCCAAGATAAGTATCCTACACACACATAAAAAATTATCACTACCTTATAAACAACATATATTTTAACCTTATGAAAAATCTAACTTTCTTACCTCTTTCCATAAGCTGAGACCTATTATAGTGGGCACAGCCATGCTCAAAATAAGAGCCTAAAATGTTAAAGCAAAAAGGGTTATGGATAAATACACTTCAGAATATACTTCAGAGGTACTAGACAATGACTCTATGACCAATCAAATATTCTTACAGTTATAACAATTTCAGAGAAATTGGGAGTCAGCATGGAACCTAGTTCATAGAGTAAGATGGTGATGACTACTGGTGGCTCAGACGGTAAAGCCTCTGCCTTCAGTGCAGGAGACCTGGGTTTGATTCCTGAGTAGGGAAGATCCTCTGGAGAAGGGAATGGCAACCCACTCCAGCAATCTTGTCTGAAGAGTTCCATGGACAGAGGAGCCTGGTGGGCTACAGTCCATGGGTCACAAAGAGTTGGACACAACTGAATGACTACCACATAAACAATGGATTTAAGATATAACAAGCTGGAGGCAAAGTGAGACATGCATATTTACTGTATAAATTTAAGGCAGAACATAATACTCATCACAACATTTCAAAGAGCAAGTGAGTATCTGATTTTCCCAGGAATCTAACTTAGGAAATTTACAAAAAACACTGGATTGTAAATAAATAAATAGCTATGTGAATAGCTAACAACAGCAAAAAGACAATGAATTAACACAGGAAAAACAGTCAATACATACCAGTATGTGTGTGTGCTCAGTATACAAGTCTTTGCAACCCCATGGACTGTAGCTCACCAGGCTCTTCTGTCCATGGAATTTTCCAGGCAAGAATACTGGAGTGGGTTGCCATTTCCTTCTCCAGGGCATTTTCCTGACTCAGGGATTGAACTTCCATCTTCTATGTCTCCAGCCTGCACTGGCAGGCTGGTTCTTTAATACCAGTATGCTACTATGCTAAGAATATATAAATTCCTCTGGAAAAAGGTTGGCAAAATACAAGAAGACTATTATTAGAGATAATAATTTCTCAGCTTTCCGCCAAAACCTGCTCTTCGTACTGTCCCACAGCAATTGGTGACCCCACAATCTAGTCACTCAAACGCCAAACCTAGGAAACATCTATGATTTCTCCCTATTCTTCATTCATCCATACTTTATGAGGCACCAAATCTTCTATTTTTTTTACTTAAGTATAGAACAGTATTAATTAAAGGGTTTGGAGCTAGAAGAACTCCAAAGTGGGTGTGAATCATGATTTTATTACACTTATAAGTTATATGATATTGGGCAAGTTAATTAATCACTTTAAGCCTTCGTTTCCTTGTCTATAAAATACAGATAATGAAACTTGCCAACAAGGTCTTTGTAAGCTTTGAATAGCATATAAAATGCTTTAAACAGTACCTGACACATAGTAAGCTCTCATCGCTTCCTCCTCCATGGCCTGTACCTGGTTTAAGGAGGTTCAACCTCCTTCCTGGCTCAAGTCTATCACCCTTAAGCCTATTCTTCATGGAACTTTAAGGATGGGCTGAGAGAAAAGGTAAGGCTGACTTTCTCCCACCTCTGCATAAACATGTCAATGTGATCTGAATGCCTGTGGGATAACACCAAGTTCAGCAGAACACTCAAAGACCTCAATGACCTTACCCTCCCTGATTCCTCCAGTCTCATTTTTTCACCACCCTTACCTCACATTTTATGTGCCAACAAAATTAAATGTGTCATGCTTTTTCTTTGCCTCTGATTTTACTCCCTTTGCATATATCATGTACTTTGCAACCGGTGTTTCTTCCCTCTATCATAAATACCCCTCTTACCCTCATCTTTCACACCTCAGAATTGAACTTCTCTTTTAGGGATTAAAAAAAAAACTGAATTAAGCAGGCCTTCTCGGTTCCAAAAGCACCCTAATAATACTTCTTATTATCTCTTTTTATGACCAGGAAATGGTAATCCACTTAATGAAATTAACCTTTTTTAACTATACTGCACACTATGCGAAATCTTAGTTCCCCAACCAGCAATCAAACCCATGCCCCCGACAGTGAAAGCTTGGGGCCCTAACCACTGAACCACCAGGGAAGCCCCCAAATCATGTTTTATCTTTTTATTTTAAGCACATTATTCATAGCAGGTGATTGTGGTTTTCACACAATCACAGAAAACCACAATCACAGAAAACTAACCAATCTAATCACATATGGACCACAGCCCTGTCTAACTCAATGAACCTATGAGCCAGGCTGTGTAGGGCCACTCAAGACAGACGGGTCATGGTAGAGAGTTCTGACAAAACGTGGTCCACTGGAGAAGGGAATGGCAAACCAATTCAGTATTCTTGCCTTGAGAACTCCATGAACAGTATGAAAAGGCAAAAAGACAGGACACTGAAAGATGAACTCCCCAGGTCGGTAGGTGCCCAATATGCTACTGGAGATCACTGGAGAAATAACTCCAGAAAGAATGAAGAGATGGAGTCAAGGTAAAACCAACACGCAGTTGTGGATGTGACTGGTGATGGAAGCAAGGTCTGATGCTGTAAAGAGCAATACTGCATAAGAACCTGAAATGTTAGGTCCATGAATCAAGGCAAATTGGAAGTGGTCAAACAGGAGATGGCAAGAGTGAACATCAACATTTTAGGAATCAGTGAACTAAAATGAACTGGAATGGGTGAATTTAATTCAGATGACCATTGTATCTACTCCTGTGGGCAAGAATCACTTAGAAGAAATGGAGTAGCCATCATAGTCAACAAAAGAGTCCAAAATGCAGTACTTGGATGAAATCTCAAAAACGACAGAATGATTTCTGTTCATTTTCAACACAAACCATTCAATATCACGGTAATCCAAGTCTATGCCCCAACCAGTAATGCTGAAGAAGCTGACGTTGAACAATTCTATGAAGACCTACAAGACCTTCTAGAACTAACACCCAAAAAAGATGTCCTTTTCATTATAGGGGACTGGAAAGCAAAAGTAGGAAGTCAAGAAACACCTGGAGTAACAGGCAAATTTGGCCATGGAGTATGGAATGAAGCAGGGCAAAGGCTAATAGAGTTTTGCCAAGAGAACGCAC